GAAAAGGAAGTTTGCTCATTTTAAAACTTAAATGAACAAGATTTTCTGTAGTTTACAGTGTAACTTGCCGACTGAATTTGGGGCTAGGCAATGTGGCTTTACGTTCAATATTTGAAGTCAAAACCAGACATTTTTGCCATGTAATCTTATCAGTTGCTCACTGGATTCATTTTTCTTGTGAATTTATCATCTTTCAAGGGATTGTAACAATGGTCAGACTCAGAAATGATAAGCCACTAGGTCCGAATAAGATATACCAACGTTAAAATAATTCAGAAGACATATTGAAAAGGGTTTGGCTCCATCAGTATGTAACATGCTCTAGAACTGTGGAGGATGCAATAGATTTGTTGCAAACGGACAGTAAGCTAAACTAAGAAACATCGTTTGTCAGCAATTTATTTTTGATTCAGCATTTTGCAATAATATTAGGTCACTTAAACCCCAGAGAACATAGCTAAGCATTGGACAATCACTCCATCCCTGAATTAGTTCGGGGAACTATTTGTTGCACTCACTCTATGACAAGTATATCTCTCCATAGATGAGGACACCAGAGTTGCACACAATACTCAAGCCATCTTTACTTCTTTACTCAAATCCTGTTGTAATAAATACCAACATTCCATTTGCCTTCTTAATGGCTTGCTGTACCTGTATGTTGACTTTCAGTGACACATGTACAGGGACACCAGAGGCCTTTCAACACTTCCCAGCCTCATACTGCTTAAGAAATACTCAGTTCTTCTGTTTCTCCTCCCAGAGTGGATCACCTCACATTTGTCCACGTAGGAACAAATTACTACAGATGCTGGAATCTGTACTGAAAACACCAAATGCTGGAGATCACAGCCGGTCAGACAGCATCCGTGGAGAGAGAGCAAGCTAGTGTTTTGAGTCCAGATGACTCTTCATCAGAGCTGAAGTGAAGTGTGGAGGGGACAGCATTTATGCTATAGTTGGTGGGGAGCTGTCGGGGTGGTGGATGTAGGGTGCTGGTGGAGAGATGTTGGTAGTTCAGATGCTGAACTCACCGATCGCCGGTTCCGATGTACCACCGCAAAAAAACTGCAATGACCTCCTCAGAAGACAGACAAGGGACACGTCCAATAGGGTACCCTTCGTCGTCCAGTACTTTCTGGGAGCGGAGAAACTACGCCATGTTCTTCGCAGCCTTCAACACAATATCGATGACGATGAGCACCTCGCCAAGATCTTCCCCACACCTCCACTTCTTATCTTCAAACAACCACCAAACTTTAAACAGACCATCGTTCACAGCAAACTACCCAGCCTTCAGGACAACATCGACCACAACGCTACACAACCCTGCCATGGCAACCTCTGCAAGGCATGTCAGATCATCGACATGGATGTCACCAATACACGTGGGAACAACACCCATCATGTGCACAGCAGATACTCATGTGACTTGGCCACTGTTGTCTATCTCATACCCTGCAGGCAAGGATGCTCCGAGGCATGGTATATTGGCGAGACCATGCAGACACTGCGACAACAGATAAATGGACAGTGCACAACAATCGCCAGACAGAAATGTTCCCTCCCAGTGGGGGAACACTTCAGCGGTTAAGAACATTCGGCCTCTGATCTTCAGGCAGACTTTGGGATGCACAACGATACAGAGTCGCCGAGCAGAGGCTGATAGCTGAGTTCAGTACCCATGAGGACGGCCTCAACTGGGATCTTGGGTTCATGTCTCACTACAGGTGACCCCACCGCGCGCACAACACAGACAGATCATCTCTCATACACACACTGTCCCACACACACACGCACACTCTCACACTGATCCTATCTCACAGACACACTGTCCCTCATGCACACATACATGCATGCATGCACACACACACATGCACTCAGATCCTCTCTCATACACACACACTGTCCCACACAAACACGCACACTCTCACCCTGATCCTATCTCATAAACACACTGTCCCTCACACGCACACACACACACACCCACACATATGCACACACAGATCCTCTCTCATACACACACTGTCCCACACAAACACGCACACTCTCACACTGATCCTATCTCACAAACACATTGTCCCTCACACGTGCACACATCCGTGCGCACGGCGCGCACACACACACACACACACACACACACACAGTCTCCCCCACGCACATACTCTTTCTCTCTGTCTCCCCCACACACCCGCCACACATGTGCGCGTGCACACACACACACACACACACACACACACACACACACACACTCTCTCTCTCTCCCACACACACGCGCACACATACACACACACACACACGCATGTGAATCTATGGGTGAGTTTGTATTTGCAGATACAGTCTATTTTGTTCATAAAACACACAATTTATAGACAATCTGTCAAAGTCCTACTTTAGAAGTAAAACCAGTCTGACTCCAAACCAAAATACAAACAGATTCTAAACAAGGTCTCACACCTAACATGCATTGCCTGACCTAAAATGTCACCTCTTCTTTACACTGATAAAAGCTTTAGTCCCTCAGGGCAGTGACTTGAAAGGAATTCAGGGATTTACATATACATATTAATGAATTAAAACCTCATAACTGATTAAAGATTTAACAACAACTTTAGGTTTGTTTAAGACATATTCATCATTGGTGTGAACCTTTGATTTTTTACTTATAAATTCTGTGTCTGATACTACCTCTCTCCTTAACACCTGAAGAAAGAGTGAGGCTCTGAAAGTTTGTGTTTTCAAGTAAACCTGTTGGACTATAACCTGGTACCATGAGAATGGCAGAACAAAGTTGTGAGTCTTGCCTGACTTCAAAGGACTGGGATGGGGGGAGGGGATGACATGATAACAAGCGAAAAGGGAGGGAAGAAATTGTTCACAGTTTAAAGGTGTTGAACTCAATATTAAGTCCAGAAGGTTGTAAAGTGCTTAGTCTGAAGATGAGATATTGTTCCTCCAGTTTGTGCTTTGATTCACTGGAACACTGCAGCATGCCAAGGATAGACATGTGGGCGTGCAAGGAGGACGCTGTGTTAAAATGACCAGCTGCGGGAAGGTCGGGGTCTTGCTTGTGCAGATTGGAGGAGTACCACAAAGTGGTCACCCAGTCTGCGTTTGGTTTCTCCAATGTAGAGTAGGCCACACTGGGTGCAGCGAATACAGTACACAAGATTGGAGGAGCTACAGGTGAAATACTGCTTCAACTGGAAAGACTGTTTCGGCCTGTGAAGGGGCATTTCTCCATATTGTATTCCAGGTGCTATTGAAGAAAGATTTTTGAACACATGACTGATTAAATGGATAAAGGAAATAAATTGGAATTTTAGCTTCTATCCTGGTGTATTTCTGGAGTGTAAACATAAATGCCAGCAAGAGGCGACCTTTTCGGGAACAGGGTGAGACAGATAGCCCTCTCTTTATTTCTTGTTAAGTCTCTCTCTCTGTTTAAAGTTTCCCTGACAACTTTTATATACAACATTCCATTGGGTTCACACAGGACTTAATCACTGAGTGTAAATCTGCAATATTTCTGTAGCAGTCCTCATTTTAGAATTAAAAGTAAAAATGTCTCATTTTGAAAACAAAACATTTGAGAATTAAATGCAAAAATGTCTACAAATACTCTGATCTACCATCATAATTTATTGTGGAAAAGTATGAGTTACATTTTAGGAAGAAAGACAATGAATGTGAATGTGCAGTCATTTGGAACATATTGAAGGGAATGGATAAACAGATAGATCTCAGAATTTACATTGTAAGTATTGGTGCAATTAGAAAAAGACAATTTAAAAGCCAACAGCATTTTAAATTTCACACATAGGAACATAGTTTACGATATTGTACAAAGGAATGATAAGGCTGTAGTTGGAGAACTGTTTGCAGTTTGAATGAAGAAAGTACATAAAAATTAAAGAACATTTAAAAATAAGGAATATTTAAAAGTTAAAGAATATTCCTGGTCAGGGAATAGGAGTTTATGTAATCTGGACAGGCAATGTCTTAGTGGTATTATTGCTGGGCTGTTAATCCAGAGAACCCAGGTAATATTCTGGACACCAAAGTTCAAATCATGCCATGGCATTTAGCAGAATTTGAATTCAATAAATATCTGGAATTAAGAGTCTAATGGTGACTGTGAATCTATTGCCAATTATTTGGAAAACACATCTGGTTCACTAGTTTCCTTTAGGGAAGGAAACTTATCCTTACCTGTTCCGGTCTATGTGTGAGTCAGACCCACAGCAAAGTGGTTGACTCTTAACTGCCCTCTGGATGGGTCAGTAAATGCTGGCCTAGCCGGCGAAGCCCTCATCACATGAATGGAAAAAAATATGTTCAGCATCCTCTCACCAGGATGATGCCAAGGACAAGAAATTATACACAAAGGTTGAGAAACTAGGATTGCGTCTATTGACAGAATAAAGGCTAAGGGGGGATTTAATAGAGACCTTTTTGATGAGATTTACTGGAGCGAAAAGGAAAATCTAATGAGTAATGGAAAAGTTAGTAATGGGAGTCGTCAATTTATAATAATTGTTACTTGGAATGAGATGGGAAACATGGAGTGTTTCATTACAGGGATTGTTGAATTCAATGATCTTGTTCTCATCTAAATATCGATCTCTGACCTTGCTATGCCATCTTTTGGAAATCTCATTCAGCCCTATCTCCTTTTTTGAGTAGCATTCCTCTGACTCCAGCCTTCCATGTTTACCTCCATTTACCTTTTTCATTATTGGAAAACATCCAGTTATCATTGGCCAATACTTTTTATCTCTTAAGATTCTCCAAATAATTTCTCCCAACTCTTTGTAAATCTTCAAGTCCCATCTCCTTGACCAGCATCTAACTTTGTTCTTGTTGGCCTGGCATTGTTTTCCTTATTTCTATTTCTGCATTGCCTAAGAACTTTTCTTATATTCAATATACTGTAAATGTGCAAAGTCATGAATGCTTGAAGAAACCCAATTATTTGTTGTCTATTATCTTTACTTTAGGAAAAGAAAAATCCAAATACCAGCCGAAAATGAAGATGAGCTTCGCAAACTTGTAACCTGCAGCAAACCGTCAACACTTACTGAGGTCTTGTCAAAGTTCCGTTACTATATGCCAGTGATTGCGTAAGTACATTGTTATTTTATATTTTTCTATATTATGGTCCTTCTGAATACCTATGTCTTGCACATTGTAAATGAGATCATTGATCAAATAATCTGTTTATGATGGTGATGATTGAAGGAGGACTGTTGACTAATATTGTGGTTGTATTCTCTACTCTTCGATTAATGCTATGCGATGTTAAGACCCACTCAAGCTGCCTGATGGGGCCTGTGTTAAATGTCTCAGATGACAGATAATGATGGTGCAGCAGTCCAAAAAATGTATTTAAGTTCTGGAGTGGTGTCTGAAATCCATTTGTTATTGGTAATGGCCAACTGAGATAGTTGATATAATGCTGTCGCTTTTGCTTTTATTAGGCAGGGCTGGTCAGCTGGGAACACAATGGAATTTTCTCAAGGGTTTTCTTGACAGACACTGCATTGTACTGGCAATGCTATCAGTAGAGTCATATAATCTCAGTAAAGTCATGTCTACAGTGTTTGCATAGTTTGTCTAATGCTTGTGCACAGGTTATAGGAACAAAACAGGAACATCCCAGGTGAAGGCCATCCCTCAAATTTAGTTTGAATTAACTCCATGCAAGATTTGTAAAACCTCATGAGTTTAGTACATGCAAAAAACATCCTAAACACACATATCGAGCTAATTTTCACACTCAGATGATTATATTTTAGTGAATGCTAAATTGTGAATGATGTATATTACATTGTTATGTTGATATTAATACAGCAAATAAGCAAATTACTGCAAATGCTGGAATCTGAAATTAAAAACAAAAATACCATAAATAGTTATCCGGCCAGGCAGCATCTACGGAAAGAAAAAATGTTAATATTTGAACCTTCTTTTCATAAATAGCAACATAATTGATTTGCATCACATATAAACATGCATTTTTTTTCCCTTACTGATGAAATGAAAAGTACATGTATATCATATTTTAATCCACATACATAGAATCATAGAATACCAACAGTGTGAAAGCAGGTCATTTGGCCCATTGAGTCCACACCGACCTTCCAAAGAGCACCTCATCCAGACCCACTCCTCTACCCATAAACCTGCATTTCCCATGGCTAATGCACCTAGCCTGCACAACCCTGGATGCTATGGGGCAATTTAGCATGGCCAATCCACTTAACCTGCACATCACACACAGACACGGGGAAAACATGCAGACTCCACACAGGCAATTGCCTGAGGCTGGAATCAAGCCTGGGTCCCTGGCGCTGTGAGGCAATTAATGCTAACCACTGAACCACCATGCTGCACATGTTGTTGAGCATTTGTTAATAGAATCCAAAATATCAGTGCAAAATAAAATGTTTGTATTGTTATAGCATCCTGAAACAATTATGATTGTGGTATATCTAGTGTTGCAAATTGCCTGCATATTGTCTAATATTGTAGACAGATTTTAAGACAGCAGCTCTTAGAAGCAAATACTGAAGCAACATTGTGTGAATTGAATAAATATCTGTGACTTCATCTACGCAATCAGAAGTGTTTTGTATTTAGTATTCACCAGCAGCTAATATTCACTTACTAAACTCATAGCAATGTAAATGTTTTCCTCTGAATTGGAGACTTGGTCATTTGTTTTTCAAATTTAGCATTTTTTAATGAATAAGGTAGTTTCTTTAACTACCTCTTATTCAGAAAATTAGATATTTTAATAGTCAGTCAAATTAATTTATTGATGGTTCCTGTGAGCTAACAGTAATATTAATGGGCTCAGTGTTGAATTCACTATTGTGATACTTGTGCTTAATTGCAACTTTGATAATAATATGACTTTACAGACATTCAAAATATTAATCAGCATAAAGTGCATTTAATCTTTCATCCCAGAGGTGACCGAGAAGCTATTGAGCAAATAGCCTATGAACTTGCCGAGGATAAAGCAAAAGAAGGAATTGTATACCTTGAAGCTAGATACAGCCCACACTACCTAGCAAATTGCAATGTTCATCCTATTCCATGGGGTCAAACAGAGTAAGTGGACTCAACTAAAATCTGAAGTGATCATAATGTCTTAATAGAATAAAAAACATTATTTCTAGTAAAATACTGTATAATGTTTTCAGTTTTCTTTCCTGTTATACAATAAAGTATTGCAAAAGGAATTCCGGTATGATTATTCACTGATAGTCAATGGAAAGCAATTAACATAGGTCAGTCTTATGCTATGTTGCCTCTAAGAACAGTTGGTTGTGAATGAAAACAAATTATTCTAACCTCACACAAAAGCAAAATTTTGAGAAGCTAGAATCTGAACTAAAAACAGGGAATGATTAGGAGGTTAGAAAATATCTGTGGAGAAATGTACCTAACATTTCAGTTTGACCAACTTCCATCTTAAATAAATACATTAGAGATGTACCAGGTTTTAAACAAATCAGAACCATGGAAAGATTATTGGGATGGGGTGTGGAATTGTGAAGTGTGGGAGTTGTGTAGGTAATGAAGGAAAGAACAAAGGGAAATAAAAGAGGTCAGTAATTGATGTCAAAAAGGGCTGATGCCCAAGGCAAAGGGAATATTAATGGAGCAATAAAATTAATAGAAGATGTGTCTATGGGAAATTTTAGTCAGAATAATTGAATTGTTACCAACAGTTACTGTACTAGGTTTTAGCATAAAGGAAGATAAATCTGGTTGGAAGTTGATATTTTCAGAACAGATGTAACAAGGGAGGATTGGAAAGATTCCTTGCAGGAAACTGGAGAGGAGTAGTGTAGCAGGTAGGTTTTGGAGGCAGTGGTCTTAGATTGGAAACTGATATGGTTTCCTTTCTCCTTAGCCAAGGTTTCCATTGCATTGTGGCTGACATGTTCTTTGACCATGTCTATCTCATTACTCGCATTTCTGCTGTCATCACTTCCTTCTCTTGATCCCAAAACTACAATATGATTCCCCTTGTCCTTACCATCCACAGCAACAGCCTTTACATTCATCCATTTATCCCCTGCCATCTATACTACCTTCAACATGATGCTACTATCCTTGTCTTCTTTTAGCATTCTGAAGGAATTGTTCCTGTTACAAATACCCTGGTGACCTCCCCAATCACTGTGAACACATTTCTTCCCATTATCCGGGAGCACAAACAATCCTTCCAGGTAAAACAATGGGAGGAATATCATACGGGTTTGGAGATGGTTACGAGTTTGGCTGTGTGTTCACAAAACAAAGCTTTTCACTGTACCTAGGTACAAGTGACAATAATAAATCAAATCAATCAAAATGTACCGACAGCAAAAGTTCTTTGTCTGAATCCGAAAAAGGTGAGAGCTGCAGCAGCAATGAACAGGTATAAAAGCTGTGCAATGGTTTATTGGATTCATCAACTATTTTCCCAGTTTGTTGCTGAAGTGTGAACCAATATGCCAACTCAAAGCTAAACACATGCGGTGGTATTAAGACACAGAACGAGAAACAACATTCATTAAAATCAAGCAACTAGTTACAAAAATGCCAATTCTGAAATGGTACAACATAAATGATGAAGAAACCCTGCAGTATGACACCAACAGCTGAGGACTTGGATCAACACAAGTGCAGCAAGGTGAACCAGTTATTTCTGCTTTCAGGCTGCCAGCACAAACAGAAAAATATTATGCCTAGATCGAGAAAGTTTGCCTAGCCGCTGTCTGTTTGTGAACATTTTCATCAATACCTACTACGAAGAGATTTGAGTTGATCAGAAGCTACTTCAAAGCATTTTCCTCAAGTTATCTGCACCAAAATTTCTGTAAACAAGGTATCATCTTCATCATCCTGATGTAGGTTTCTGATCCTAAATGTTGACTTTCCTGTTCCTTTGATGCTCCCTGACCTGCTGTGTTCCTTCAGCTCCATGCTGTATTGACTCTGACTTCCAGCATCTGCAGTTCTTGCTATTTAAAAATCTACAACTGTTGCAAGAAGTGGTGGTAAAAGGATGGTCAGAGAGCATCAAGGACACACTTGTTGCTCAAAGAGCATTTTGGGCACATAGAGATGAATTGACAGCGCAACATGGAATATTGTACAAAGGAAATAGACTAATGATCCTAAAGGAATTGAAAGAAATGGTGCAAAAGTGCATCCGTTCAATCCACTAATGAATTTAATCAAGTATAAGGAAGGCGAGAAATGTGTTCCACTGGTCAAACTTGATCAACAACTTCAAGGACCACATCAGGAAGTACACTGCTTGTAATCAGTTACAATCTAAGCAAGTTACAGATCTAAAGATGACACATGACATCCCAGATAGAACATGGATGAAGCTGAGAGTAGATCATTTCACCTTTCCAGCAGCTGATTAGCTTGTCACAGTGGCCTACTATTCTGAACACTAAGAGGTAGACTAATTGACTTCCATTACTACTGTTATCGCCTACCCAACATTGTCATGAGTGACGACAGCCCTTAATTCATGAATGAAGAATTCAGTTGCATAATGAAAGACTGGGAAACTCAACAATATACATCATCTCTGTACTATACCTAGTCAAACGGAAAGATGGGATGGCAATGAAAATTGCACAAGAAGTCATGAAGAAATCAAGTAATCCTGCCCGGTTGTATATAAGGAAATTCTCCAATGGAGAAATACCCCTACAGAAGGCATGGAAAGTAGTCCAATAGGCTAATGTCATAGCACACGCATCTACTCTTCCAATAGTGAAAAAGAAAATGAAGCCAGAAGTAGGAACACATATCAGTGAAGAAATCAAGATAAAATGTCAGAAAGCCAAATTTCACTTTGACAAGATGATAAACCAATGTCAGAGTCGAGTATTAGAGAGCCTGTCGGGGTACAAACTTTCAAAAAAACCCTACCCTCCAAATGGCAACTTAGAGTAGCTGTCACCTTGATGGTACACAGTGGATGTTAACGACCAGATGTACCATTGCATTCACAGGCACATACACCCAACTGCAGAGGCTGTTCATCATCTGCAGCCAGCTGATCTGGAGCAGTAAACACACCAGCCCCACAAAACACACATCAACCATTAGATTCAGAGCTCCATAGCAACCCAGCTACAGAAATAGGCAACTGCTACCACAGGAACAACAAATGACACAGGAATGATCCACTCAATAATAATCTGTAATTAAGAGCCTAATGATGACCATGAAACCATTGCTGATTGTCAGAAAAAACCCATCTGATTCACTAATGTCCTTTAGGGAAGGAAACTGCCATCCTTACTCGTTCTGGCCTATATGTGACTCCAGACCCAAAGCAATGTGGTTGACTCTTAACTGCCCTCTGGGCAATTAGGGATGGGCAGTAAATAATGGTCCAGCCAGCAATGCCCACTTCCCAAGAATGAATTTATGAAAAAAACCCTTTTTTTTGTAAAAGTAGCAGATGTTTAGATTGAAGTACAATTGTGTACAAAAGTCTGTTGAAGTCATGTGACCTTTACCTCGAGGCACGCAACCTGTAAGCAGACATCTTAAATTTCACATCCATGAAGTCCTTGTGTTAAACATACTGCTGTGTTGTACACTTGAACCATAAGAGTCTCACCCACCATTGTATTTTTAAAAATTCATTTTCAGAATGTGGGTGTTGTTTACAAGCCTAGATTCATTGTTAATTGACACTTATCTCCTGAAGGTGGTGATAAACTGAATGGTCTGCCAGACCACTGCAGAAGATTACAAAGAAAAACTAACAGTAATCCCATTTGGCCTCTTGAGCTTTTTCCACCATTTGGTAATATCATAGCTGACCTGATTGTGGCCTTAATAGCACTTTTCTGCCTGCCTCCCATGATTCCCTTATAAATCAAAAGTCTGTGTAACTCAGTCTTGAATATATTGAATTACCAGCATCCATCATCCTCCACAGAAGATTTTCAAAGACTGATGACCCTCTTTGAAAAGAAGTACCTTCTCATTTCTGTTTTAAATGGGAGACCCCCTACCTTTAAATTTTACCCCTTTATTCTCAATTCCCCTATGAGAGGAAACATTCTGCCAACATTTACCTTGTTGGGTTCCTCAGAAACCTATACGTTTCAGTAACGTAACTTGCATGCGCAAGACATAAAAAAGCTCTGGAGGAAGTACAAAAAAGGATTTGGGAGAGATTGAAGAGGCTGGGGCCTCTTTTTATCAGAAGGGAGAAGACTTGGATGTGTCCTGATAGAATTGCTTTGAAGTGTATGATTGAGTTAGACTGTATAGTTGTTGGGAAACAAATGATTCTACTTGTAGAAGACTTGTCGGCCATAAATATATGAAGATACAAATAAATCCAATAGGCAAATAGGGAAAACATTCTGTACTCGGAGTGCTTAGAATGTGAGACTCACAAACACACAAAATGGTTGAAAGAAATAACTTAGAACTTTCAGAAGGAAGCTAGATAAGCTCATGTGAGAAAAGGCAATAAACAGATAAGGTGAAAGGGTGTGGTGAGGTAGTTGAAGTGGGAAGAGACTGGTACAAAGTACAAACAACAGCATAGCCTGATTGGGCTGAATGGTCTGTTTGTGCTGTAAACTACAGCAATCATATTGGGGCTTCATGAGAATCAGACAGAGTTTTGCTTCAGGGTATCAAAAGCCAGACTTATTATAATGTAACAATATATTGAAAATAAGTAACTTTTTAAGTTGTAAAATGTTTATTTTCGATCATCTTCAATTTAAATATCAAATTTTATTTCCTAGAGGTAATGTAAGCCCAGATGAAGTTGTCCATCTTGTCAATCAGGGCTTTCTGAGAGGTCAGTGTGACTTTGGAATTAAAGTGAGATCGATTCTCTGTTGCATACGTCACATGGAAGGTAATTTTCTTTTCTACAATTATCTTTTTAGATAACGGCATTTTTGGAGATATTTAATAGCTTTTTTTTGTAGTTTGTAAGTTATGTTTTAAGTGTGGTACTGTAACTGACAAAAAAAACCTCATAATTGTAGAGTTTGTATTACTTACCAGAAGTTTGTTTGGGAGTTTGTCTGACTCTGTGCAATTGCTGTTGCAATAATTGTTCAAGTATCTGGGATACAATCACCTACTTCCTCAGCAATAAACAAATGCCATACTAAGAAATTTAGCAATGGGACAGATTGTACTTATTCAAATGTATGCTTCAGGATGCTGTTAAATTTATCTTGTATTCTTTTGAGTCAGCCATTTGAAGAACAGTGAATTGAAGTTCTGTGTGAAAATTTCACGTAATTACAGAAAACTAAATATTATTCACTGTTTGTGGTTCCTGGCCAGGAATAATTCAAATTGTGCTGTCCCTTCCTGTTACACAGCAGGCAGGAATTTGATGGGGGAGAGTATGGGACGCTCCACCTAATCAGCGGCTTGCTTTGGAAGGTTAATATATTCCTGCCTCCTTTCTAACAGGCTAAATGTCTCTTGCCTAATAGTGGTATAAATAAAGAACTAAGTAACTGCTGATAGCACTGTTGTAAGCTGAAATGAGCCAGAGGTTGACAATTACACTTACCGTCAATACTACTGTCATAATATTGGTGGGACCCATGCTGCATCCCATGCAGTCAGCTGTTACTTCATATCTTATGGAGTGAATTAAACTGCCTGAAGACTAATGTCAATGATGATGGAAACCTCATGAGTTGGCAAAGATGTATCATCCACTTGATGTTGAAACTGGTTGCCAACAATTTAGTTTTCACTTTTGCACTCATGTGCAGGGTTTCAACTTTATTGAGGATGAAAATATTTAAGGAGTCTCTTCCTCCCATTAATTGTTTATTTTCCTAAGTGTGCTTGTTGTATTTTGCCAACCATGTGTAAGAATGATCAAATCAAATGCTTTGAGGTCATCATTTCCTGCAAAGGATCCTGTGCCAGCTCAGGACTTTTATTTAACTAGTCAAGGAAAGTCAGTGTTCATTTCATAGAATCCCTACAGTGTGGAAGCAGGCCATTGAGTCCATCAAGTCTGCACTGACCCTCCAAAGAACATCCCATCCAGACCCATCTCCCTACTCTATAACTCTGCATTTCCCATGGTTAATCCACCTAGCCTGCACATCCCTGAACACTGTGGGCAATTTAGCATGACCAGTCCAACACATCTTTGGACTGTGGGAGGAAACCAGAGCACCCAGAGAAAACCCATGCAGTCATGGGGAGAACGTGCAAGTTCCACACAGACATCCACCCAAGGCAGGAATTGAACCCAGGTCCTTGGTGCTGTGAAACAGCAATACTAACTGATGAGCCACTGTGCTGCCCAACCAGGCAGCAACTAGGGACACAGGTACCTTAACCAATATATCAGTAGCTGCATATCATCCTTATGTCTGGCTTGTTGACTCACTACGAAATCGGTATGTTGTGTACCTGTATAGCACTCAAACTGGGGGAAGGAATAATTCATTATGTAGAACTTAATTTTCTTTTTCTGTCTCTCCAGCATGGTCTCTTGAAACTGTTGAGCTTTGTAAGAAGTATCGAAATGATGGTGTTGTGGGAATTGATCTAGCAGGAGATGAACTGATGAACGCTGAATCCCATCCAGGCCATGTACAAGCTTATGAAGTAGGATATGTGTGCAGATTATACGTTGCATTCGGAATTTGAATTTCCCCAACTACCAAAAAACAATCTCACATCTCAATTTAATTTATAGTTACAGTATATATGTACAAGTATTAAGCACCGGACCACCTGATTTATTTTACAATAAACTGGACCCGAAAAGTTAACTCTGATTTTTTCCTTCACAGATGCTGCCAGATCTGCTGAACTTTTCCAGCAACTTCTGTTTTTGTTAAGCATTTGTTATTTATTTATCCACTAAGAATTCTATTCCATGTACAAAAATGTGAAGAGTGAAGGAACATAATGTTTGTACATCATATACTACCCTTACTCCTTAAAATAGAGAAGAGAAATGGTAAATACATCCTTAAACTCCCAAGGAATCTTAAAACTTTCATAGAATCCCTACAGTGTGGAATTGATTAGGCTTCATCCAGTAATTTGGTAGTTACATTGGTACAATCACCCATAAGTGTTTGCTGCTTAATTAAGAGTGCATCCTCTTTGGTGGGTTCCTTTGTCATTGTCCAACAGGACAAAATGAAAGTGGTGAAGAAGAAATTCCTTACAATTGCGCCTATGGCCCTGATACTAAACATGGGGGGGTGGTGCAGATGAGGCATTTCAGGTCTTATCCAAATCCCTCGGAAAGTTACCATTGAAATTACCCCCACAATCCTTTCAGACTGTGCATCCCAGATCATGATTCAATATGTCTCAAAGGTTTTCCTCATGCAGCCTTTGATTCTTTTCTTAATCACTACAAAATCAGTGTCCTCTACTTCTCAATCCTTTCACCAACGGCAATAGTTTCTGTCTGTAAGAGGTAGGCAAAGTCACATGGAAGACAGGTGCAAGTGGAATGTACAAATGTGATTGGTAAAATGTGTATAAAATATAACATGGTTCAGTTTAGCAATTTGGGATATTTATTTTGTTTTGGCCTTTATTTTGCACTATGGCCAAGTGGACTTTGTGACAGTCAGTAAGGAAAGTAAGTGGTGAGACTGCCAGCAAATCTTAGTTTGGGTTTATGTTGACTGGAATCATCGTTGATTCGTTGTTCATGTACAGCCAAGCGAGAATGGCAGATAACATCCTGGGGTGACCTTTGACCAGAAACTAAACTGGACAAGTCATATAAATATTGTGGCTATCAGAGCAGGTCAGAGAATAGGAATCCCACAGTGGATAACCCACCTTCTAAATCCTTAAAGCCTACCCACCATCTACAAGGCACAAGTCAACAATGCTGCTCACTTGCCTGGATGAGTGCAGCTTGAACAACACTCAATAAGCTTGACACTATCCAGGATGAAGCAGCACACTCAACTGGCATCACATCCATTGCCTCTACCACAGAAGCTCACTAGCAGCAGTGTGTACCATCTACAAAGTAGACAGCAGAAATTCACCAAGACTCAATCAACAGCAGCTTTCAAACCCATAACCACTTCCATCTAGAATGACCAAGGCAGTAGCTCCATGGGAACACCCCTCTGCAAGACCCTCCCAGCCATTTACCATCCAAGCTTGGAAATGCATCGCTATTCCTTCAGTATCAAAATCCTGGAATTGTCTTCCTAACAGAATTGTGTAGGTATCCCTGCAACACATAGACTGTAGCAACTCACGAAGGCAGTTCATCATCACTTTGTGAAGAGCATTTAGCCATGGGCACTGAATAATGGCCAAGCCAGTGACACCCAAACCTCATGAATGATTAGATAAGACAGATTGTCAATCCACAGCTCTCTATTGCAAGGCTTCCTCCCAGATGCAGGTCGAAGTCTCAATCTGAATCCTTCCCCAGCCATGGGCAGCCAGATTTTAAGTTGATAGGCTCAAGATTGACTTTTCAGTTCAGTCATGGGGAAGGGTGGGGGATGGACTCTGAATCCTCGTAAAATCCAGTTAGTAATACCTGCAAACAGACATGCAGTGGCTGGATATTTCTGAGGTTGTCTGGGTTTAGTATTAAGGACACACTGGATGTGCTCAGTGCCTCTGAAGCCAATCCAAATATAAATAAGTGCCATCAGAACAAGAAATCATAATGTGGAAACAAATAATTTTGGGTGATTTTTTTGGATGTCCCTTCAGATAGCTGTGAAGTGTGGGATCCATCGTACTGTTCATGCTGGGGAAGCTGGACCACCACCAGTGGTGTGTGAGGTAAAGGCTTTTCTTCTTGGTCATGGTGATCATATTTAGTGATTCATCAAAATACAGAGCATTGTTTTATTTGAATGTGAATTCTTTCTGTGGTCATATTTTGATGAGTATTATTGCAGTGCCCTCATAGAAAGGTGCATGCAACATAGAACGGTGACTTGATCCACACTAAAAATTGTTATTTAATTGTCTTTTGTTTTGCCTGGCAGTTAAATGATTTTAGTAATGCACGTGAATTGGTGAATGGACATGAAGTATTAGAATTGTGGATGGATTCAATGTAATGTAGGTAGTTACTATGGTATCTGTGAGGGCTTCGTGGCACAGTGGTAGTGTCCCTACCTCTGGATTGTCGAGGCATTTGTTCAAGTCCCATATGCTCCAGAGGTGTGTAATAACATAGGTGAACAGGTTGATTAGAAAATAAATGCGACACTTTTCTAGTAGGAGGTATCTTTATCCACGTGGATTAGTAAGGGCGTGGAATGCCCTGCCTGCAAAAATAGTAGACTCGCCCACTTTAAGGGCATTTAAATGGTCATTGGATAAACATGTGGATGATAATGGAATAGTTTAGGTTAGATGGGCTTCAGATTGGTTTCACAGGTCGGCGCAACATCGAGGGCCGAAGGGCCTGTACTGCGCTGTAATGTTCTATGTTCTATGTTCTATGTTCTGTCTGTATAAAGCTTCCTTTTATGCAGTAGCCAAATGGTGAAGTTACCCCTTGATGTTCAGGTATAGAGACCCCGACCACAATATTGCTGTGTTGCAGCATTACATACCAGCTATTTACTGGGCAAGAAAACAGGGGGTAGAAAGAAATGAGGAGGTCTGGACTGCCCTGTCCCTGAGCTTTCCAGATTCACCCCCTGGCACCGTGCCAGGAGCAATGCTGCTATGTTCCAATGCTCCAATGCGACAACAATGTTCCTCTCAGACTTCATTAATCAGGGGACTCCAGAACTTTACAGTGAAGTGAGCTGACTCCTTAATTTAACTCAATTAGGTGTGAGCGGGGAATTAGTTCAGGAATGGCTCCATTGGCTTCGTGTACTTACTCTAACATTTCTTGAATTCATCCACGGGGTGTAAGAAATGTCCATTCGACGTGACAGGCATTTTCAAAGGAAATAAACTTGGCAGCAATGCATTTTTTTCATCAGGAAACCAGCTTGAGACATGTTCTTAGGTTGGATGCCTGGATGGAGGCAATAGGCTCAGTTGCTGCTTGCAAAACATTGTCTAAACCTTGGGAAACATTGCAATTGACTGGTCATTGTGCCGAATCAGCCAAAACAGAAATATCAGTCACAATTGGATCGATCAATTTGAAGGCACAATTCTATTTATGAAGCCCTGCTCATCTACTCCATCCAGAACCTGATTACACTGCAGACTGTTTCATAACCAGGAAAGTAAAAAGATAGCGGTAGCTATGGTAAACCATGACCATATTTTGTGTTTAGGGCTTTGCTACACAGGTGTTGCTCGACCTTTCTTCCAGTGCCTTCTACATTCTGTCAAACTTTCAGTGTTTTCATCCTCCACTGTTATTTTTTGTAATGGTTTATACCTGCTCTGGTCAAATATTCAGCTTTTATTTCTCTCATTATTTCTTCCTCATGACAGACCATTATTCCTCCTGCCATTTAATCAGCTTCTGATTTCCACCTAATCAGAAACCAATCTTTATATCCTGTCCATGTGTAAACTTACCTACTTACAGCAAAAATCTATTGATCTGAAACGCTAACCTTTCCTTCCTCTTTCCACAGATGCTGCCTGACCTGCTGAGTATATGCTGTATTTTCTGCTACTTGTACCATCCCCTCTTTTTCCTGGTTTCCTGCAACTATTCTTCCTTCTCAGCAGCATTTTTTTTTATTGTCTGTCTCTTCTCAGGTTTGTCCTGCTATCTATTGTTAGATCTGTTTGAAATTCAGTGGAATTATAATTTAGAGATATACAGTACTTGTTTTCAGGCCTTTATTTCTATTTTCTTTCGAAATGTCAAAAGTTGAAACAAGACTGAAAATGTGCAAATTTAAAATGGATGAGAAATGGGGCAGGGGCTGGGCAGGCAGCAATAATATATTTGTGTAGGACACAAGAAGGGGATGGTTAAGTTCTGTACTTCTCGCGAAATATCCTACTCGTGTTTGTGAAAAAGGACTGAACTGTATCACTACCCATATCCGCGGAGTGGGCTGAATAGCCTAGAATATAGAATTGGTTCACTAGTGTGCCTGTCAGTTACTGAGTGCAAGTGTGAGTGAAAGGAAGGATGAGGACCTAAGAAGGCTGAGAATAACCCTCAAAATGGAAAATTTTGAATTGCAACTTTTCAATTTGGGGATTTAAATTATAGTCATGGGGGAAAAAAATGTATGATTAAGAGCAATTTCATTGTTTACTTGGGCTTTCACTAAAATTGACACTGAGTTGCGCCATTACGAGAAGTGGGTGATTTAAGATAACATATCTAACATAGAAAATAGAAGCAGGAGTAGGCTATTTGGCCAGTAAAGTTTGCTTGGCTATTCAGTATGATCATGGCCAATTAGTGTTCCTTGCTCCTGCTTTCCTCCCATACCCTTTGATTCTTCAGCCCTGAGAGCTGTACCTGACTGGTTCTTTTAAACAAACATTCAGTGCTTTGGCTTTAATTGCTTTCTGTAGCAGGAATCCACAAGCCCAAAGCTCCCTGGATGAAGAATTCTCTGTTCTGTCAGTCTAAATGGCCTACGCCTTTTCTGGTCTGACTCCCAAGTCATTGGGAGCTTCCTTTCTGCATCTACCTTGTTAGAATTTTAGGTTTCTGAGATGCCTGCTCATTCTTCTAAATTCCAGTCCAACCCATCCAATCTCTCTTCATATGTCAATCCTGCCATTCCAGGAATAAATCTGGGAAACCTTTGTTGCACTCTCTCCATAGCCAGAATGTTCTTCCTCAGATAAAGACACCAAAACCGCACACAATACTCCAGCTGTGATCTCATCAAGGCCCTGTATGATTGTAGCAAGCCATCCCTACTCCAAAATTCAAATCTTCTTGCAATGAAAGCCAACATGCCATTTATCTTCTTCGCTGCCTGCTGCACCTGCGTGCTTACTTTCAAGTCCCCTGGTCTCATTGCACGACCCCCTTTCCTACTCTGTCTGTATTCAGACAATAACCTGCCTTCCTGCTTTTGCAAAGTGGTTAACCTCATATTTACCCACAGTGTGCTTCACCTGCTGTGCATTTGCCCACTCACTCAACTTGTTCAAATCACATTGAAGCATCTCTGCATCTGGCTACCACCCCTCTTTGCGTCATCTGCAAATGTAAACATATTAGATGTAATTCCCTCATCTAAATCATTATTACACATTGTGAATAGTTGGGGTTGAAGCACAGATCCTTGTGGTACCCCACTGGTCACTGGCTGCCGTGCAGAAAATGACTTATTTTTTCCTACTCTTTATTTCCCGTCTGCCAGCCAGTTTTCTATTCACATCAGTACACCAACACCCAATCCCATACGATGCAATTTTACATACTAATCTCTGTGGGATCTTATTGAACACCATCTGAAAATCTGTGTTAACCACATCCACTGGCTCGCCTGATCAACTGAACTCGTTACTTCCTCAAAAAATTCCAGTAGATTTGTCAAGCATGATTTCCCTTTCATAAATCCAATCTGACTCTGTCCAATCCTGTCACTATTTTCCAAATGCTCTGCTGTTAGATCATTTATAATGGCCTCTAGTATTTTCCCACTACCAATGTGAAGCTAATCAGTCTGTAATTCCCTGTTCACTCAACCTGATGTATTTTTTTAAATGGGGTTACATTAGCTACCCTCCAATCCATAGAAAATGCTCCAGAGTCACAGAATCTTGAAATATAACACCAATGCACAATCTATTTCTAGAGCTAATTCCTTAACTACTCTGAAATGCAGATTACCAGGCCCTAGGGATTTGTCAGCCCTCAATCCCATCAATTTTCCCAGCACCATTTCCGTACTAATACTGATTTTCTTCAGTTCCTCTCTCTCACTAGACCCTGTGTTCTCAACATTTTCAGGACATTATTTGTGTCCTCCTTTGTGAAGACAAAAGTAAAATTTGTATTTAATTGGTCTACCATCTATTTGTTCCCCATTATAACTTGCCCAGTTTCTGATTGTGAGGGATCTACATTTGTCTCCACTAATCTTTTTCTCTTCACATACCCGTAGAAGGTTTTACCATCAGTTTATATTTTTTCCTGCAAGCTTATACCCATGCCCTATTGTTCCCCTCTCAGTCAATCCCTTTGTCTTCCTTTGCTGAAATCTCAACTGCTGCCAATCCTGAGGTTGGCTGCTTTTTTTGGCCAATTTGTATACATCTTCCTTGGATTTAATACTTCCCTTAATTCCCCTTGTTAGTGGTGGCCTGACTCCCTTTCCCATTTTATTTTCATGCCAGACAAGAAAGGAATATCATTGCAGTTTCTCCATGCAATCTGTAAATGTTTACCATTGCCGATCCCTTTTAAGTAACGCTCCCCAATTCATCATAGCTAGCCCATACTGAGTGCCTAGTGGATTTAGAAATTCTGAATATTCACCTCTTTATGATTCAAAGTGGTCATCTTAAAGAGTAATATTTGTTAATCTTTATAAATTTACTACTTTGATAGGCTCTGGAAATTTTAAAGTCCGAAAGAATTGGCCATGGATATGCAATCATTAATGATCCTGTACTCTACAAGGAGATATTACAGAAGAAAATCCACATCGAGGTAAAAATAATGCTTTAGTAAATGAAAAATACAATAAATCCTATAGCTGTATTTGAAAGAATGTTTTTATTTTCATATTTATAAAAGGCATGTCCCTACTCAAGTGTTCTCACAGGAGCATGTGATCCTGATTTCACAAAACATCCAGTTGTCACGTAAGTCCTTTTTGCATTCCAATTATTTGATGTTTTGTAGCATTTCTTAACAATATTCAAAGGTTTTGCAAAGGACAAGGGCTTACTTATTTTCCGAATGGTATGAATGAATAAAGAACAAGTTTAATAAAAGGTGTAGTTCTTGAGAACTGGCGGAGATAATCTAACTCCCATATCTAAGGAGGTGACAGGACACATCCAGGAAATTATAGTCATCTTAATATTTGTGTAGGAAAGAAAATAGGGAAGAATCTGAATATAACAGATTTCAAAGTACAGTATCTTGTTTGACCAACTTTAATTTTTCTGAGGAGGTAGCATTGACAATGTAATTTATCTGGATTTTCAAAAGACCTTTGAAAATGTGGCTTACAGATAAAGTTAGGGAATATGAAGTCAGGGACAAATGGAAGAATAGATTGCTAACAGGCATCAAGACAGATAGGAGAGAGTGGGAATGTTATTCAGGAATAGCTATTCAGAATGGCAGAGGTGGGAAGTGGTGTTCCACAGAATCAGCGCTGAGTCCACAGCAGTTCACAATTTACATTAGCAATTGGGAGTTTGGAATTAAAACCACAGTTTCTAAACTTTTAAACAATTAAAGTACTGTGTGTACTTCTGGTCACCATATCATTAGAAAGATATAGGGAATAAGAGAGGAAGCAATGAAGATTTACAAGAACAATACTGAAAGTGCATGCGTGAAAAGGATCGACAGCATGTGTGTTTGCTGTCTTGAATCTAATGGCTGAAGGGTGACCTGCAGAATTATGAAAGGCTTTGACAGAACGGATAAGGGGAAGAGCATAACTTGATGCCATTATTGTAATCCATATAGAGAATTCAGAAGAAACTTCTTTGCCCAAAGAGTTATAAGAATGTGAAACTGATTGCCATAGAATTGAATTAATTGAATTGAATTGAATTAGCTTTATTGTTACATTTACTCAAATGAGTACAGTGAAAAGTTGGTAAGTCGTTACTTAACAGCGCCATCTTGGATACAAAGGTACGTAGGTACAGCTTCTGATTGGGAGTGGTTGAAGTAAATAATACAGAGGCATTGAGGGGAAATCGCACAAGCTTTTGATGGAGAAGGGAATGGATGGTGACAATGATAGATTTAGATGAGAAAATTTGAAGCAGGCTTATTGGAGCGTAAACATTGACATGGACGGCTTGAGGATGAATGTTCTGTTTCTGTGTAATAAATGTTATGCAATCCTGTGTAAAACTGCCAGATAAGCTGTAACAAGAGAAATTTAAGTCTGCATTGGAACTGCTAATTGATGCACCCAGCTTAAAAACTTGAGTAACAAATTAAATGCAAGTTTGCTAACTGACCTCTCAATGATAGTTCCAGGCAGAGGAAATGGTAATGGAACATGTAAAGAAACAAAACACTGACCGAGAGAAGGTGCACATGGGAAAAGCAGATTCATCACTGAATCATTTTGTCATTTGATCTCTCCTTCGATCCATATTATCCCAGATCTCCCTTCTGCTCTTCCCATTGCTTCTTTTCTATTTTTCCTGGCTCTTGCGCTTGCATTTTGCCTAAGTTTTCACAGTTCTGACAGAAGGTCACCTTGGCTTGAAGCAAGTCTTTCTAACCCCACAGTTGATGTTTGACCGGCTGAGCATTTTTAGTCTTTTCTGTTCTTATTTCACATTTTCAGCATTTGCAGCTGCTTTTGAAATAGTTTTGCATGTGTTATTTACTTTAAATGTCATGGGAAATAATACTCAAATCTAATGTCTGTTTATAACATTAAAACATTTGTTCCTTCCCATTCCATATGGACAGAAATATCAAAATAGTCAGCCCAGCTCATTCACATTATCAAGCTGCCAACCAAGCTGACAGATTTTTGTTATTGTCTTTATATATTGGTACAGTTACTTTCTAGCTTGGCTCTTAAACCTCTTTTCAATGTAACCTACTTTTCTCAATTCAATATGACCACAAATGCCATATTCTTCCTCTTTTTTGGATTACACGCTGTTCTCATTTTAGGATTCTGTTTTCATATTTTTGGAACGCTAGAATCTGGTGTTCCTCATGGGAAGCTAAATTTACAGGGAGCACAGCTCAGGAAATCATGACTGTGAAATCACTGATCTTCTATCCAATCACATACTGAAAATTACAAGCTTTTCATTGCACACCTTCCTGAAAAATGCTTCACATGAGGGAGACTCTCCTCTGGAAATGTTAGATCAAACCATATCACACAATTTTGAAAGTGGGAAAACTCCTCAATGTTAGGAGGAGTGGGAAAACTTCTTAACTCCTCAGGCGAAACCTCCACAACATTACTACTAGGCTAAGTAGCTCCCTTTAATTATGTCTCCTCTACATGAGTTGACAGAATAAACAAAGAACAACTTCATCTGTTGCTTAAATTAGTCTTGGTCATAACCCTGAAACTAGAGCCAGTCCATTTCTGAGAGAAGGTAGGAAACACTTTTTCACACATAGGGTGATAGAACCATGGGACCCTCTTCCACAAAAGAAATAGAGTGGTCATCAAATATTCATCTTAAGCCGAGATCTAGTCAAAGTCTTTAAGGTATATGGAGTTAGGGTAGATGGCAGGAGCTGGGACACTGATCAGCTGTCACACAAAGCACAGCACTAATATTCTGAAACCCATAGGATCGTAAAGTAACATATTTACAGAAACATTGTCAAGTAATATTCTAGAACGGTGCTATCCAAATGTAGTAGCCCACAAATCGATGAACTCGGGTTTTCTAATGAATAATTAATGGACTCATCATAGTTAATGAACAGAGTTGCATTTATTTTACAGATTCAAGAAAGACAAAGCCAACTTTTCACTCAATACAGATGATCCATTGGTTTTTGGTTCAACAATTCACACTGATTATAACATAGCTGCAGACTACATGAACTTCACAGAAAGAGACTTCATGGAAATGGTAAGTGGGAAACAAGTGTGACATTCTACTTCCTGTTAATTTTAATCCTTGCCTATTTGTAGGTTCACTACTTGACTTAATTCATGGGAATATAAGATCAAAAATAATAAACAATCAGGAGATAATTTAGAGATAGTAGGAATCGGGAACCAATCAGGAGATAATTTAGCTGTGTTGCCTACTGAGTGGTGCAGAATGACACTCATGGGTTAAATCGCTCTTAGCAGGCATGGTGGGTCATGGAAGCCTGTCTCTTTACCTTGCCCCATGCCTGATGAGGAGTGGTGCCCCTTAAGCTGTATAACCACTGTCATTCTGTAACAGGGAGAGAGAGAGAGAGAGAGATACCTGTGGTATCATTAGGTCAATGAAAATCAGACATGCAGTTAACATTGATTGTCAGATACGATTTAAAATAAAACAAAGAGAAGAATGCACTCAAAGGTGACATATCATGGGGAATTCTATTGAGAGCTTTTTCCATTGGCCACTCATTACGTGGTTTATCATGTAGCCACTCAGGTCTTGTCCTCATTACAATCTTGGTTCAAACATGGACAAAAAAAATTAAATTCAGGTGAGATTTAGATTTAGATTTTATTGTCACATGTACTCAAGTGCAGGAGTACAGTGAAAAGTGTCTAATGCACTATCTTAGGTACTTAGGTATCTAGCTACAAAAAATTCAGGTACAAAGTAGTAAAAAAAAGCAAAGTTAAAAAGTTAAGCATTACAGACCTTCATAGAATAGGTAGAAAAATAAAGAAATAAGGTAATAGTTAACATTAAAGTCCTTCTTAATTTAAACTAGAAAAATAAAGGAATAATGTTAAAAGTTCAACAGTCAACGCAAGTTCAACAGAGCAACTGCTTTTGACAACAATGTCACATCTGACTGAGCATTGCATTAGGGAACCCTGGCAAAACTAGAATCTGGGGGAAACTGTCCTCTGGTTAGAATCATACCTGGTACAATGGAAAACAGCTATGGTTATTGAGGTCAGTCATCTCAGCTCTGGGACATCACTGTAAAAGTTCTTCCTCAGAGGAATGTCTTAGGTCCGACCATCGTCAGTTGCTTCATCAACGAATATCCGTTCATTATAAGGTCTGAAGTGTGAATGTTCACTGATGATTCCCTAATGTTCAGCATCTTTGAAGACTCCACAGTTACTAAAAGTCAAAAACCAAATGCAGAAAGACCTGGACAATATCCAGATTTGGGTCCACTAGTTGCAAGTGGACATTCATGCCACACAAATGCCAGGTGATGACCAAGAGAGAATCTGACCATCACCTCTTTATATTCACTAATACTACCATCACTGAACCACACATCCCCCCACCCCACCCCTATCAATATCTTAGGCAATACCATCAACCAGAAACTGAACTGAACAAGCCATACAAATACCGGAGGCATTGTGTTTATATATTCACACCAGGTCAAAGAAATCATAATTTCATTCCTGTTTTGCAGAATCTCAATGCAGCCGCTTCTAGTTTCCTTTGTCCGAAAGAAAAAGAAGAGCTTCTTAATTTCCTGAAGACAGAATATGGAATGAGACAAGATTTTTGTCACTAAGCATTTATTAAACAATGTGCAGTGTTAATGAACAACAAGTAGTTATTAACTTCAGCCACAGTCCCCACTTGTAGCAGATCTGTTTGTATGAATGTGAATGGTACACTATATGCATTGGCTAGAGTAAACAAATGAACAATCATTAATCAAGAAATGATAGAACATACAGAAGATGATTTGGAAGTAGTTCTGTGAATTTAGCAGAGATTAGTAAGTTGTCAGCTGTGCACAGCCAGAATCTATCACCTCAATTATATTTCAAGTTGGATCACGCTGAATCCTAAATTTTCTTCATCAAAGCCAAGCAAGAATGTGTCACATTCAGTGGGCCAGAAAGAATGGTTCAAAGCAATGACAAATATTCCAGGGGTTAAGGCAAATGAAACTTCATGAGCAGTAACTTGTGAGGTATAAACCATTGTCTGAAAAGATAATTATGGTTTGAGTGGTGTCTTTGTAATTGCTTTCTATCACAATGGAAATTGCCCATGTTATAATCTAAAAATAGTGTTTAGATTTAAAAGAGCAGATATGGGTAGGTGATCAGAACATTTTAATGGTATACTACAATGTTTACTTGTGTCACTAAGTATCAACTTTCACCAAAGGCCTGCAGAATTGGTGAGCCCACTCCTTGATGGTAAATGTAGGCAGAGACCATAAAGTCACTGGTTCTTCTTCTTTAAATTTTTTGAGGGATAGAGTGCTTTGTGTTTGAGGAATATACATTATGTGGCTTCTAGGATTGACTTCCAAACTGGAAATACCTTAGTCTCCTGTATCTATCCCTAACCCTATCCCTAACCCTATCTATCACTTCTTGTGCTTGGGATAAGTATAAAGATACAATTATACAGCAATGGGATTTGTCCTATGAACCTCTCAGTATCAAACAATTGTCTGAAATAACTCTGGTATTCTATTTTGTAAAAACAGGCTAGCTTTATGATATATTGTTATTTAACCTGCATATTGCTATCTATTAATTGCTTGAACTACCTTGTGAAACATTTGAAAAGCTGAATAATACTTTAAACTGTACTTTACAACTTTACTGATCTGAGCTTTAATGGAAACTGCTTCATTCAAATTTACTGAAAAATGATTAAACATGAGTTTCTGAAATCTAATTCATTATTACAATCAAAATAGTAAGAATTTTAAAAATGTGTTATGAAGCATTAATAAGTATCATTTATCACACTAACAAAGTGTGTCATTTCTTTTGGAAGTTCTTTCGCCCTGTAGTTTTATGTCATACCTGAGAGTTTGGGTTCGAGACAGACTGGTCCAGGCATAGTTTTAAAGTGAGTGGAGGTAGATATAGGGCAGACATCGGAGGTAGGTTCTTTACTCAAAGAGTGGTAGGGGTGTGGAATGCATTGCCAGAACGGGTAGTAGAGTCGGCCTCATTGGGGGCATTTAAGCAGCTATTAGATAGGCATATGGATGATAGTATAAGGTAGGGGTGGAGGTTAGATAAATCTTAGGTTTAGGGTAAAAGTTCAGCACAACATCGTGGACTGAAGGGCCTGTATTGTGCTGTACTTTTCTATGTTCTATGTTCTATGTTCTAAGACCACGTCAAAAACTATCATAATGGTTAGGCTTCTTTAGAACTCTGTTTATTGCGTATTACTACTACATAGAACTATACAAGGGTAATCTAAGATATACGAAGCTCTTCCTGTTACAATAACTTTCTTTTCCATGAACTTTATTGACACTCCTTCGTCAACCTCACTAACTCAGTCCATACTATGTATGCCTCATTGGAAGCAGCTCCCTGATATCATACAAGGTGTTCAAGGTTTCGAAAACTCTCACACAATACCCCATGCCAAACTTTTTGCCCGTCATTAGATATAACTGTTAACCATTCTATTCAGTTACTTAGATAAGACTTCTTTTTGCAACATTTACTGTAAATTTTGTCCTCATCTGTCCTAGTCTTTCCTGTCTTTAAGTTAGTGCATCAGTGTGAATAGATGAGTAACCAAAGTCAATGATAAGGTTTGGAAACATTTAAGAGAAATTTGGCAAGCATCTTTTCCCTTCCGACTTTTATTCAATCAGAAATGTATTCAAGCAGGCAGCCTGACTATACGTCCTGGATAGTAACAATTTGCTGAAGGGTCTTGCATTGATGTAATGGCGGGAGCGTCTGGGGAAATTAGGCTCTATCTTCTTCTCCATCAATGGCATCTGGACTGAGTTATGTTCTTTATCCACAGGCAGATGTTCTCACACAAAGAAATTTGTTCCATTATAATATTCACCTATTCAAAGTTTTCTTCCATGGTATGAATGTGCATGTTGGCATGGAAACAATTTGGTTTGATGCTTGCTGTGGCACTCCTTCCAAAATTGACCTCTATTCCTACAATGAGTACATTGGTTTATGGCTGAAGACCTTTGCTTTTGTATATGTGGGATTTTGGAACCATACCTGAGACAAATCCTGTAGCATTAGATTGTAGCTCAGGACTTTGCATTAAAGTTGTCACATATACTATACTTTTCAGGTGAGAGGTCTGTTTTCTCCAGTCAGATAGTTTTAAGTGGACAATGTCAGGTTCATACAAAACAAAGAATTCTTTTGGTGGGCCGGGAGTTGCCAGAGTGCATATCAACCATATTAATATACATAATCCAAATAAATCCAGTAAACTGGGTGTCAAGGAATGGGACATTTAGTGTAGTTAAACTGTGAGAACGTAGAGAGGGTAAGCCTAGTGGGCTAGGAAGTGGCAAATGCAATGCAAAGCAAAGATATATCAAATATAGGAAACTTCTAATAAAGTGGAGGAACACAAGCATCCCCAACACGGATGGGAGTGCAACTGAATAATAAAGTCATTGGATACTTGTGTACAGAAAATCACATAAATGTTTCACATTGTAGATTGTCATTAGGACACAGCTGCTTTACCAAGATCTCCATAACAGAATGAATGTTAGACACATGGAAAGGATGCAATGAGGATCAATTAGACTAACCGCTGGATCATCATAAGTTACAGTTCTGAAGCCATGAAAAGTTGAAAAGTTAACAGAGAACACTGAACCTGAGAAATAATCAAAGTATGAAAGATTTCAGCAGAGTAAATAATGAGGCAATTGGCCCTGATTTTAACCCAATTCATCCTGAAGAATGGGATGGGTGAACATTTAAAATAGGGGAAATGATCTTACTACCCCACTATCGCTGGAAACTCATCGATTGCTGATTTACCTCTCAGCTGACTTGAGGTTACAAATGAATCCACTAGAGAGAGCTATTGCCAACTGGGATGTGGCCTCTGGCAAAGTTGCTGAGCCTGTCCTGTTTCATACATCAGTTTAATCCTGACATCAGCATCCATAACTACAGTAAAACCCTGTACAAAGTACTGAAAGAAACAAGCAAGGTTTAATTTAATGTTAACGGTCTAGTGGACAGTAAAGAAGGTTAGCTAAAATTACAAAGCGATCTTAATCAATTGGGCCAAAGGGCTGAGGAGTGGCAAATGGAGTTTAATTTAGATAAATGTGGGGTTTTGCATTTTGGTAAAATGATCTTAAAAGGTCAGGATTTATACAGTTAATGGTATTGGCCTGGATAGTGTTGTCGAACAGAGAGATATAGGAATTCAGGTACACAGTTCTTTGAAAGTTGCATCATAGGTAGACAGGGTGGTTAAGAAGACATTTGGTACATTTGCCTTCATTGTTCAGACCATTGACTATAGGAATTGGGTTGTCATGTTGAGGTTGTACAGGACATTGGTGAGGCCACTTTTGAACTATGTACAGTTGTGGTCACCCTGCTATAGGAAGGATATTATTAAATTGGAGAGGGTTCAGAAGAGATTTGCCAGGATGTTGCCAGGACTGGAGGGTCTGATTTATAAGGAGAGGGTGGATAGGCTGGGACTGTTTCCTGCAACATAGGAGGTTGAGGGGTGACCTTATAGAGGTTTATAATATCATGAGGGGCATAGCTAAAGAAAATTGAAAAGGTCTTTTCCCTAAGGTGGGTGAGTTCGAAACAAGAGGGTATATTTTTAAGGTGAGAGGAGAATGATTTAAAAGGGACCTGAAGGGCAACTTTTTCACACAGAGAGTGGTCTGTGTGGAATGAACTGCCAGTGGAAATCGTAGATGCAGGTACAGTTACAACATTTATGAGACATTGGACAGGTATATGGATAGGAAAGGTTTAGAGGGATATGGGCCAAATGCAGGCAAATGTGACTAGTTTAGTTTGGGAAACTTGGTCAGCATGGACAAGTTGGACTGAAGGGTCTGTTTCAGTACTGTATAACTCTATGCCTCTCTGACTCTATAATAGTATCTTCCAGAACATTTGAAAGCACTTCACATAGGTTTAGTTTTAACTTGCAGTCAAGTAGTTTTGGGAGTGGACTGGGATAAAAATTGACTGTGTATGTGGAAACTAACTCTAACCAATCAACATCTGCACCTAAATGTAGCCTATTAAGCTACATGTGAGTCACCCCTTTGGGAAAGTTTGTTGTCAATTTCATTATATTAACCATTCCATTACTGGGTTATTAACATTGTGTTTGGAATTTAACTGTGGCTGAACAGATTCCTTGGGCTTCTTGGAATACATCAGTTAAAAAGGCAACAACATTATGCTAATTGAGAGTGCTGCAGCCATGATAGAAGCAGGGAAATGTGCCAATAAATACTGATGCCTTAGAGCTGATGTATGATGACTTGATTTGTGTGAAAGGCTACGTTCAGTTTCTGTGCTCCACTCAAGTTATTTTTTAACTTTTTTTTTCTTCTGGGAAAGGTTACTTTCCCTACTTTGATTATGCAGCAGAAATGCTTCTTAGCTATTTCATTTTGGACCTCAGATGAAGACTAAGATGGCAAAAGCAGCAGCAGGAAGAGAACCAGCAGGGGTAGCACCAGTTTGTACTTTGCAATGCTGCAGCTCTATTAGAGCGAGGAGATGCTGAGCTGAGAGATGTAGCCTATGAGATGCTACATCCATAACATGGTGGATAGCAAAGGATAAACCTCCTTGCCACAATGGAACAGCAGTGTTTCAGAAGCCCAGGATCTTGTGTTAGATCCAGTGATAGCAGTATGCCGAACAAGACACCTACTGCAAGCAGTTCTGGTGCCTGTGCCTTAGAATTGTCAAAATCATCACCGTTCTTAATCACTCTTCCACTAGATTCTTCTGGAATCTGCTGAAGTAATTTGTAAGATCTTGCAAGCAGCTCCAAAATATACAAAACAGGTTACTAACTTATTTTGAAACGGAAAACAATGATGTTAACTTTACCATTGATGATGCCAGTCAGAACGAATGGGTGTTAGCAGTGGTACATGAATACATTTCTTCCCCTACAATATTTAAGTGACTCAAAAATGAAATGGAAGCTTAGCTTTCTAACACTGTGTAACACACCCCTGTGGAACAACAAATCTCCACTCCCTCTTCCTGGCACATCTCAGCCTCCTGTGGCTTCAACAGAACATGAAGCCAAATGATCAGTTTCTCCTCTGACTGATGAGATTTCTCCTTGGCTGTTATCCTCAGGATTTGCAGCCTAATGGGCCCTGCCAAAGGCTGCTCCCTCTGCATCTGCTGTGGGGGACAGACCCGGCTTTAAAGACATGATGGGTATTGCCACATGTGGGCTACAGCTGAGAAGAGTTTGAGCTGTAATGCTGCTACCTTGACCCTTTCACCAACATTCTTTTCATTGCTTCCAGCTTCCCTGGCAAAGAGGGAACTGGCAGCCACTTCACTATAGATCAGCAGGGTGATGAATGGTCAAATTGAACATTCCATCAATCCAATTTAAGGTGGCATTCAAATGGATAACCAGTTAGTGTGACCCCAGGCTTCTGGTTACCTGTCATTTTAAGTTTTCACCTTGCTGTCATTCTTACCCGTCTTGTCTGCAGGATTCCCATACAACTCAACAAACAACACTTTGTTTGATTGGACAATCTGCAGTCTTCCAAACTCAACATTGAGTTGAACAATTTTGGATTGAAATCAGTCCCTTCTTAAAATCTTTTTCCTTGCTTGCTTTCTCTTGTTCTTTGATAACACTTGTCAATGATGTTACCATTCATCATTCTCCTTGATATATCTTTT